AAGATGAAAACATTTCTTTCAATTATAGATAGCTATAATGAAATTATGGATTTTATATTTGCTCCCAATTTATTTTTTTTTATGATGAATTTCGAGTTTATATAAATATCCCTTAAAGCCCGGTATGAACTGGGAAAAACTGTTTGTCATATTATTTGTCTTTCCAATCTTTCGGTATGTCATATTGTCTTATCAGCTTCGGCAAACGGATAAAGAGTGTTTCATAAAATGCAATAAAAGCCAATTAAAAATCACGAATATTTCCGCGACATTGTTTCTTACGTTTGGCCAAGGCTTTAAGTTTAGCGAAATATTTCATTTGTTCCTTGATCGTGTGAATTGTATGTATATATATTTTTTATTTCTTCGTCCTAGCTGTTTTATACAGGTGGGTTTTTTACCTCACACAAATTTGTATTGAATTAGGAGTCTTAGGATGTTAATACAAAGTAGAATTAAACGTTAAAACGGTATTTTGAAACAATAACCAATGAATTGAAGTGATTTAGCATAAGAGCAAGCAAAATATACAATGTGTTTTTAACAATATTTAATGTGGGTGTATTTATATACAAGGTTTATCAATATTCCGTGATTTTATTTTGTTGTTTTTGCGGAGGAAATCGGGGAAACCCCCCAGTGAGAATCTATTTTTATAGTCTGCGCGTGCGCAGTGCGAGTTTGGCTTAGTTGCGCATGCGTATTTGCTACCAAAATAATGGCGGTTCGAGCATTTCGAAGCGCGAAAATATCAAACTTTGGAGGGATTTTTCTCCCAATTGTGCACCTGTTTCGCTTGGGGAGCAACGGATTCTGATAAAGTAAGTTTTTATCTATTTATTCATGTGAAAATCACGTAGTTACACGAGGGGTGCAACGGAATTGCATCTTTTGGATGCTCATCCTACGGCCTAGTATTGTCGATATACTATCCTGCTACTATCCTGGCTAAGCACGAGGTATCGGTTGCCAGAATGCCAACTATGCAAGCCAAGAAATTCACCATTTACAGTAAACATTCTATCCCACAACCCGTCAACATGAACTTGCCTTTAGGGTCCCATATCAACAGACCCTTAACAGATCCTGAAACTACAATTGGAACATTTTAGGCCATAATCTAGCTTGTAGAATCAACCAGGTATTGTCAGTAGTATAATATTACACCGGGCTAGCTGGTCTTGTCCATTTATATGGGCTAAATATACACCTGCTCATGGTAAGATACTGCCTCGTATATTAATTTTATATATGTTTGAGATTGCATTCACATGGAACAGCCTGGCTAAATTTATTGGCCCAGCATCTGCTTGAGCAAGTTGATATCCTACATTGGGAGTCTCACAATAATAAAGGTCATAAGATGGCCAACCGGCCAGCTCACTCGACTAAAAATCATGTTATAATACACAATTTGGCCCAAGTATAAGTAAGAAATTGTTTAATATAAGCCTTCTGAAGCTGTTGCCATTAACAAATTAAGCAGCATATTTCACACAAATTTCTTGCCAACACTTGCCAGGTTAGCCTGACTCCTGTGAGGCAAATGACAAACTAGCCCTGAAACTGCCTCGTACCCAGGCGCTTTAAATAATTATACATGAAGTATTCAGGCATGCGACGTGCAAAGGGGCTGTCAAGTATGGTTCAAGTGCACTCTTCCCATTAGCCCCTTCGCCCATCTCTCCCCACTACAATACTTCATGTAAACTCATCATATGCGCATCACTGTTTTTATACAAAGAGACGCCTGGGTACGAGGTAGCTTAACAGGGAGAGCTTATTTTTGGAAGAGAAATCTGATTTTTGGAATGGAGGCCTATTTGTAAGGTTACTGGGGGCTTATAAATATTGGATTGTATTATTATATATGTGCAAAATATTCATTTGTGTACAGGTATTCTGGTAATGCACAAATTTATGGACTAAAATGTTTCAATTATAGTCTCGGGATTTATTGGGGACCTATTTATATGATCTAGGCTATCCAGAACACATGCTTGAAGCCTATCATGTTGCCTGTTTGGGATACAGTGCTTATTGTATATGGTGAATTTCTTGGCTTACATATAGCCAGGATTCTGGCAATGGAAACCTCACGCTTAGCCAGGCCGATAGTAGCAGGATAGGATAGGACATACTGGCAAATGTCGTCTCCCACGTAGCCAGGTAATATGAACAGGGCCCAATTGTGACTAGTGAGCCAGATAAAGTAAAAACCATTAAGTTCATATACGTCCATAGATTTTGATACCTGAACAGCAACATTAAACAAAATCATTCTGTCCCAAAGTCATCCATATTCCTTAAGTTTAGGACTCTGAGACCAATGAATATATTGTCAATCAAGGATTAAAAACAATGAAGACAAGTGTTATGGTCAAACAAACGAAAATATTCATGTCCACAGGCTGCAACACGCAAATATGTTGACACATTATCCTGAAGTCGACAAAATGTCGAAATCGATGAAAAACGAGCCTAGAAACAGTTATTGAGCTAATCAATAAAATAAATACTTATTATTATTATTATTATTATTATTATTATTATTATTATTATTATTATTATTATTATTATCATCTTTATTAGGGTCAATTAACCATATATTACAAAGAAAACATATAAAATATTCAATCAAACTATTATTAATAGAATATAGACCCTAAATGGGCAAGATATAAACGGGGCTCAAAGAACCATGCAAGATACCTTCCCAAACGTTATTAAAACTAATTATGTGACATTACACACACAAGACACAACCGCCTTGAGTGCACCACAGTTTACGTCCTATGACACAAACAGTCACGAAACAAGGACCACGTACATGACAAGTCAACATCATAAATAGAATCAACAATACTAGAGTATCTACGTTTAACTAAACATTTAAAAGAACTAGGACTAGACACAGTGTCCAAACATACATCTTTACATACAATGTTCCACAGTTTGACAACACGATTATAGTACGAACATTGAAAAGTGCTTGTTCTACAAATTTGACTTTGTAGAATGTACTTTGAGGTGTTACTCAGCCGAGTTCGACCGTGACTGACAAACGAGACACAGTTACTGACATCGACATTTACATAACCAAACCAAGATACACCAAGTCCTTAACCTCTCTATCGAAGGTTAACGGCAGAAGGTCCAAGGCCAACAGACGTTCTTTGTAACTCAGCTCTCCTCTTCTGCTTATCATGATCCATCGCGTCGCCCGACGTTGCACTCTTTCAATCCGCTTTGAGAGTTGGATGTTGTTTACGGGCGACCAGACTTCCGATGCGTAGCATAATTGCGACTTCACGTGAGTCAAATAAAGAGTTCGCCTGGCTTTTATGTCTGTCAGTTGAGTACATGTTCGTTTCAATACACCTAACATTTTGTTAGCCTTGGAGATGACACAATTAATTTGAAGTTCCCATGAAAGTCCAGAGGAAGTGATGACGCCAAGATCCTTTTCACTGTCAACTCGAGTCAGACTTTCTGTTCCCAGTTTGTAATCATAAGTGACAGGAGTTTTCTTGCGTCTTATGGTGAGTACTTTACTTGGCATAAGTTTGAAGGTCCATAGTCCAAGTATTTGATGAGTTTCTTTAGGCCATTTATACCAACAAAATTTTAAAAATTCCCTGTATTTATATACGAACCATATTGATCGCCACGCTGTTAGCAAGAAATCGACATGTCAACTTGTCCCGGCCCCGGAAGTGTCCTGTTTACTTGCTACACAGGGTATTAATAAGTTAATGTGAAAATATGAAGATAAAAGTATCTTTTAAAAAATAAAACCTCTCAAACCTCGATTTGAAAGGCTTTTAAAAACGCTAATCCGTTCGGAACCTACAAATTCGAGGGGTGGTATTTAAGCAGGGGCGTAGCCAAGGGGGGACAAGGGGGGCAAGGGGGGGGGCGGTCGCGCCGCCCAATCGCAAAAAAAACTATTCTCTGAAAAAGGCTAAATCCGTAGAGAAATGGGGCGGGGGGGGTACACGTTACATCCTCGAAGCTGAAACGGATTAAGTACGTCTCGACTGAGGAAAACAACGAAATACTGGAAGAACTTGATTTCTTAAATCTCGTTAAAACAGTTGTAGATATGGTTCCAAGAGGAAT